TCATGGAGAGCGGAGGTCATGGTTGCTTAGCAACGGCAGACGCCTCCGGAGCGCAAGCGCCCGAACGCTTTGGAAAAAAAGCAGAAAGCGGTGCGCCTAGTGTTTTCCACGCGTTTTTAGGCGCAACATGTGAACGGCCCCTTATACTGTTTTTTTACACGTTGCATCGCGCCACGTAAACATAAAACCATGTCTGCATTTGTGATCGGAGAAGGCTTGAGAACGGCGCAGCCGGCGGTTTCGACGAAGGAGCGGCCGGCGGGCTTACGGCAACCACATGTGACGACCCTGGGCTGGACTCCGCTTCGTCCACGGTGAAAGCCGATCCGGCGATCCACAGCGCAAAGTTACTTCAAAGAGAAAGGAAAAATATGACCCCTTTAAGATCTTGATTTCCCATTTAGAACATTGTGTTGGGATTAAGGGTACTGCTTTGGAATGGTTTAGATCTTATTTGTACTTATTTGACAGAAGTTTTTCTGTCCGCCTTGGGGATTTTGTGTCCTCTTCGGGATCCCTCTCGTGTGGAGGTTCCTCAAGGTTCCATTCTTGGGCCTATCCTGTTCTCTTTATATTTGCTTCCATTAGGGTCAATTTGTAGGAAGTATGGCATCTCATTTCATTGTTATGCAGATGATACACAACTTTATCTGCCTTTAAAACGGAAAGATGCAAAGTCCTTAGCACTATTGTTGGACTGTCTTTAAGCTATTAAACCTGGTTGGCCTTAATTTTTTAACAGTTCAATGAAGAAAAGACAGAAGTTGTGGTATTTGGATCCGGGGATGCTCGTGATTCTTCTTATCTGGATCTTGGTGCTTTAAAACCATATGTGAAGCCCAATGTAAAAAACCTGGGTGTTATTATGGACAGTGACTTCAAAAACAACTGGATAAACAGATTAATTCAGTAATTAAAGTTAGTTTTTCCAGTTGATTATTCAAAGTCAAGTCTTTTCTGTCTTTTAATGACTTCGAAAGAGTTATACATATTTTTATTTAGACTCACCTGGATTACTGTAATGCCCTTTATGTGGGTATTAGCCAGGCCTCCCCAACATGTTTGCAGATGGTACAGAATTCTGCCACTTGTTTGTTAACAGCAACGTGCAAGCAAGAACATAGTATGCCAATACTGGCCTCCTGTTTTAGAATTGATTTTAAGATTTTGGTTTTAGTATTTAAATCACTAAATGGACTAGCACAAAGGTATCTTTCTGATTTAATAAAGTTACGTACTACGTCAAGAGCACATCGTGCTGAGCATTTACTTTTGGTTGTTCCTCGAACAAGGCTGAAAACTAGGGGGGACAGTGCTTTTGCATTGACAGCCTCCAAAACTTTGGATTAATTTGCCTCTCCATGTTAGGCAGGCCCAAACACTTTCTGCTTTTAAATCTAGTCTCAAAACTAATTTCTACTCTTTGGCATTTAACACAGTATGAGAGCAGGTTTTATGATTGTTTTGGTCTTATGTTTGTTTTTATGTGTTAACTGTTTTTAGTTGAGGATGCTTGTACAGCACTTTGGTAAACACTTGTTTTTTTAAAAGTGCTTTATAAATAAACGTTGATTTTGAATTGTCATAAGCTCAAATGTCTTGCTTACAAACAGCAACGTGCAAGCAAGAACATAGTATGCCAATACTGGCCTCTTGTTCATTTTAGAATTGATTTTAAGATTTTGGTTTTAGTATTTAAATCACTAAATGGACTAGCACAAAGGTATCTTTCTGATTTAATAAAGTTACGTACTACGTCAAGAGCACATCGTGCTGAGCATTTACTTTTGGTTGTTCCTCGAACAAGGCTGAAAACTAGGGGGGACAGTGCTTTTGCATTGACAGCCTCCAAAACTTTGGATTAATTTGCCTCTCCATGTTAGGCAGGCCCAAACACTTTCTGCTTTTAAATCTAGTCTCAAAACTAATTTCTACTCTTTGGCATTTAACACAGTATGAGAGCAGGTTTTATGATTGTTTTGGTCTTATGTTTGTTTTTATGTGTTAACTGTTTTTAGTTGAGGATGCTTGTACAGCACTTTGGTAAACACTTGTTTTTTTAAAAGTGCTTTATAAATAAACGTTGATTTTGAATTGTCATAAGCTCAAATGTCTTGCTTACAATGGCTGTCATTGTTGATGGCGCACAGATAAAGGAAGTTCAGTTTGTTGAAATTCCCTCTGCACTGAGCTCATGTGTTTAGTGAAAATTGGATTTAAAAAATAAATGCTGCATTGAGCCTATAAACTAGAATCAATTTAGCAATATACACTACCATTCAAAAAAAAAATGGGGTTGGTACAGTTTTTAATATTTTTTGATACTCTTATGCTCACCAAAGCTGCATTTATTTAATCAAAAATAAACTAAAAACAGTAATTTTGTGAAATATTATTACAATTTAAAATAACAGTTTTATATTCTAATATATTTTAAAATGTAATTTATTCCTGTGGTGCAAAGCTAAATTTTCAGCATCATTACTCCAGTCTTCAGTGTCACATGATCCTTCAGAAATCAATCTAATATGTTGATTTGCAGCTCAAAAAACATCAATATTATCAAAATTGAAAACAAGTTGTGCTGCTTAAAACCAGTATATTTTAGGATTCTTTGATGAATAGAAAGTTCAAAATAACATCATTAATTTGAAACAGAAATCTTTTGTAAAATGATTGTATTAAAAGAAAGAAATTGTAAGAAATTGTATTAATTTCTTTCAAGAAAAAAAAATACTGACCCCCCCAAAACTTTGATTGGTAGTGTAAATAGTTCAAGGTACACTTTATGTTTATGCCAGTGTAATCTTTTCTCAAATAAACATTTAATCATGCAATTTCAAGCAAAGTTTCTTCATTCTTTTTCTTCAGGCAAATCAATTCTGAATGTGTTTGGGTCAGTCCGATCCATAAATCCACAGGAAAATCATGTAAACATCCTTGTTGTTGTGAGTTTGTGTTACGACACTCACAATCATGTTGACGATGGAGTTTATAGTGGTCATTTGTGAGGAGCGGGAGTTGTCTGCAGCGGTGAAGTTCTGTCTGTAGTTTACATCCGTGGCAATGACAGAGAGTCTGGTGTCCTGAGAAGACAATTGAAAGAAAAGGGAAACATTATTGCTTGTCCAAATACATTTGCATGAGAAAAAAAAATGTCTCTTTCTCACCAAGAACATCACATGTTGTGTATTCTTGTGTGGCCAGATTTTTGACCATCGGCATGTCTACTCCACACTGCTGCTTATTATGGTCACCCACTTACACAGGAAAAATATGTCTGATTTATTGCTAAGTTGCAGTTTTTATATTTCTTACTTGCTATGTGTTTCAAATAAAACTCAGAAATAATAATGTGTGTGTGTGTGTGTGTGTGTGTGTTTGAGTATCATAATTGATGCATCAGGCTTCTTTTATGGATCATATGATATGACAGAGGAGAACATGGTGCTCAAACTTGAGAAAGAATGAAAATCAGTTTCATTCAGAGGCGATTTATTGCTAAGTTGCAGTTTTTATATTGCTTACTTGCTATGTGTTTCAAATAAAACTCAGAAATAATAATGTGTGTGTGTGTGTGTGTGTGTTTGAGTATCATAATTGATGCATCAGGCTTCTTTTATGGATCATATGATATGACAGAGGAGAACATGGTGCTCAAACTTGAGAAAGAATGAAAATCAGTTTCATTCAGAGGCCCAAACTGAGTAAAAATATGCAGTTTGGTTCAGTTACTGATATATTTTTTTATTGTGATAGCTTGTAGTGCAAATCAGTGAGATTTTTTATAACAGTATAGCAGACTACTTACATAAAATGCATAAAAATATCAGTTCTATATCTCCCAATAATACAGTCAAACCAAAAATGTATTCAGACACCTTCAACATTTCGCACATTATCACAGTTTATTTGCTATAGTTTAGAAAATGGTAATAAAATATGACAAGAACTCAGATTAATAAAATATGACAAGAACTTGACAAGAGAGTTAAACTGTGTCAGAACAAATTCATTGTGATAATGTCAGATAACAATTAAGCAAATCCTGGTCAGGTCAAAGTGTTTGAATAATTATTGGTCCACTGTATGAAGAATTTTTGGTTATAATATGTCACAGTTTACTTTATTTTGCTGTCCTCACCTACATAAATGAACTATAGTGTCCTGCACCCACTAGTAAAAAAAATATCAAAAATTATATCTGGTGTCTGAATAATTTTTGGTTTGACTGTATGTCTTAGTAAAATGATATTTAAATGCTAAGTTTTATGATCAAAGCTATGTAGTTTTTATTGTGGGGGGCAAAACATATAATGCAATGCAATACAATGATGATCAAGAGATGGATAAATAAATGTTCCTCTAAAGGCTGATGGATCACATTTGATTTTTTAACATGATTTTTCTAAAAAAATAAAAATTAAAAAAAAATTTGCTTCAGTACAGTATATGTTCATCTTGAAATATACCAATATTGAAGTTGCACAAAAATCAGTAAAGGCTTTACCTTTACCTTTCATTTCGGTTTAATTGAACTGCATCTGGTGGTCTAGAGGCTTAGCTTACTTTTTATGCAAAATGGTCTTTAAGTAAAGTCACACAGTGTCTACCTAAAAACCCATTGTATGCTTCAATCGTATATGTATACATGTCAGAAAATGTCATGCAATGCACTTCAAATCCAAGCAGCATCTATTATTTGTACGGTACCTCCTGGTCAGGTGAGATGGCCACAGCGAACACTTTAATAGCGTGTTGTCGTGCCTCATTGGCAGCCTCCTGGACCCCACCACATGGCTCCTTGTAGCCAGTCACAGGGTGACCATCCGTGACCACCACAATGTACTTATTCTCATGATAATGGGTGCCTCTGCAGGCAGATGCATGTGGCTATTTACACGCAATGTGACATGCAATGGCTATTTGTAAAATATTACATTTTAAAATGCATATGCAGTTTTAAGTAATGCCAAAAATGTACATACGCTCGGAGTAGCTCAGAGATACCCTCCTTGATGGCACAGTCAGTGTACGTTCCTTTGCCGATGTATTTGATTTTGTCTATGGCAGCCTTCAGCTCAGAACGCTTTGTTTTCAGGTCAACTAACCCCATCACCAGCTCGGTGTCGTCACTGTAGTGCAGCGCTCCAGAGTTCCAAGTCACATCGCGATTACATTGTTGTGGTCTGGCAACAACACAACAGACATGATCAAATTAAATTTGTAGAAAAGCAATAAAGTAAAAATGTACTCATTATTAAAGGTGCACTAAAAAAACATTTGTTTGCTGGCTGCTACAACAGTACTGAGCAAAGTTATTATCATTAACTAACTAAAATGAAACAAACTATGAAAAACTGAATAAAGCTGAAATAAATTATAAATATTAAATGCCTTGATAAGTAACTGAAATGAGTTTAATATGTAGCAGTAAAATTACAAACTGAAAATAAAGTAAAACTAGAACAGAACTAAAACTAAAATAATAATAATAATAAATTAAACATAAATAGTAATATTAAATAATAATAATGACAAAAGCACATGACAAAATTACTAAAAAGTAAAATTAAAATACAAACTGAAAATATAAAGCTAATTAAAAATATTAATTAAAACTATAACAGTATGTAAAAATGCTAAATAACACAGGTACTGTTATCTCTTGACAGTATAGAAGAATCACACAACTAGAAAAAAGCTAATAACATTTGTTCACATGATCTCAATATGGCAGCCACCAAAGGGAGGCTCCATTCAATGAACCGGCATTTTCTAGGATATACATTGTGAACCTTTTAAAGCATATGCTAGATATTATACAAATGGATAAATACAGAATTTCTTGGTCAAAGTATTTACAATATATCAATCAGAATATGTCATTTAAAGATAGCATACAGGTCTTTCAGCTGATCGATGAACAGCTTAGTGAAGGTCTTGATCTGGTTGATGAAAAACTCTGGAGGTTTGGCTCTGAGGGCCACACTTTCAGATGTGTCCAACACAAAGAACAAGTCCACAGGACACTCTGCAGGAAGACAGGAGGAGAATCACAAAATGATCTGTTCTTCATGGGTTTAGTCTATCAGGTTTACGTACTTGACTTAAGATAAAACATCAGCTAAAAAGCTTCAAATGTGAGTTTGCATGAAAATAGTTTTGTTAACAGTGTTCACTGTTCATAATGCTATATAAATATTAATTTTCAGTGTTTATTAACTTTCATTTATCACTTCCTAATCATGATAATTACGGTTAGTTAGGAAAAATAATGAGCTCCCCCTATTGGTTGCTAAGAAAGTTGTTGCTCCATTATCAACTTGAGAAATTAGCATCACCTGACCTAAACCCTGCAGTCATGTGACATTACAGGTCATTTGAATACAGTATTAAAGTGTATGAGATACTGTATACAGGTATGTTCAGATGAATCCAGGTGTAAAATATAAAAGAAATTGCACCAATGTCATAAAATGTTTACCTAATCAAAAAAAAAAAAAAAAACTTCAAAAATCAAAATCCATCTCTTTGGAACAGTTAGATATGATTTAATCAAAAAATAAAAAATTATATTTTTTTTTTTACAAATAAAATCAAAATCCATCTCTTTGGAACAGTTAGATATGATTTAATCAAAAAATATATATATATTTTTTTTTTTTTACAAATTTAAGCACAGAATATATAGGAGGAATCCATAAATGTGGTCCAAACCAAGGCCTTTCTTGCAAAGAAGCACAAGGGTTCTCCAAAATCATAAGTTGCATCTCAACAAATAATTCACTACCCTCATTTCCTTTGCATTAAAGCATAATTTTGTTTATTTGTGATGCATCAAAGCATAATAATATCCTGCATATACTTTGAAACAAGCAGCATCACATCATCATCAGGTATCTCCTGATGGATGGATGGATGTCAATTTGCATTGGATAAACCTTTCTATGATTCCATGACATAACTCGCTACTACAGTACACAATACCAAATACTATGATTCGAAATACCTCTATACAACTTCTTATAACGTGTCTATGTTTATTATAACAAAAGAGCAAACGTTAAACGCAATAAAAACCCCATATAGTGCAGAATGTTGAATGTCGATCGTTTATTTGCAGTTGCATTTAATATCTGTTTGACATAACTCATGTTCGACTTTTACGCACAGAGACAGCAGTAATACCGAACATGCAAAACATATTTTTCCATTACAAATAAGACAGTCAATGCAACATGAACGGAAAAATATTCATAAGTACCTCTGAAAGAGGGTATTTGGGCATCCTGAGCGAAGATCCCTGCCCAAAGTGCGCACAGCGCGGTCAATATATATCCATTCAGTGCCATAGATCCTGATGTTAACGCACGTTAACCGTGCAAACTGATGTTGAGGGACACACAGAACAGAAGGAGTGATATGATTGCAAATGAAATATGAAAACAGGTTCGGGTGAGATGAAGTAGCGGACAGTGGCACGGTGGTGCGTCCGCTCAGAGCGCAAAGCAAACGAAACGCCTTACAGCAGGAGGGGGGAGGAGGAGGAGGAGTTCGGGTCACTCATATCTACTTCAGGGCTTCTTCTGTGCCGCTGTACACCGATGTTAGGCCCTGAAACACTTCCAAATATGAGGTATATGCATAATCAAGAAGCACTTTGTGAACATTATTATGTTTAATGTGCCTAATGCAAACTATTTCTGATGTTTGAAGACGCTTTTCTGCACAATGACGCCACCATTATACAAAAGAAAAGTAAGAAAATAACTAAAAAGATGCATTGCATTCTTAATAATGGCCCATAACAATATGTTACATTTTAACTTTAATATATGAATTTTATGTTTTAATATATAATTGTATTTTTTTTACTTCCATTAATACATTTGACAGACATGCAATGCTTAACATTTCATACTGTAATTCAGTCCAGTAGTTTGAAATATCATGACACTTTAATGAATGCCTTCATATATATTCATATTTGAATGTGTATGAAATATTGATATTATTGTTTATGAACGCAAATTCCCAAAATACAACTTTTATTCTTCTATGTAATATATTCTAAAAATAATAAATATATTATAATTTATATAGGCTATATATAATTATTGCTACTATTATAAGATCATAATAAATTCAATTTGGGAGAAAATATACTTTCAAGAAGATTTTTGTTTGTTTCAATGATACTGACTGTAATACCAGGTTTTATTCTATAAATGAAGTTTTTTTTTTTTTGTAGAAAGTTTGGTTACCTTTGAAACTAAATGGGTAACATTTTGGTGTGTTATATGTATTTTTGTTTTGTTTGTTTTTATTCTGCTATGTACAATGTTTTGGCAATATGTACCTAAGTATGTCATGACAATAAAGCAATATTAATTTAATTTAATTTAATTGAACTGAGCTGAACTGAATTGAATTGAATTGAATTGAATTGAATTGAGAGAGAGAGAGAGAGAGAGAGAGAACAACGAATAATAATAAATATATTATAATTTATATAGGCTATATATAATTATTGCTACTATTATAAGATCATAATAAATTCAATTTGGGAGAAAATATACTTTCAAGAAGATTTTTGTTTGTTTCAATGATACTGACTGTAATACCAGGTTTTATTCTATAAATGAAGTTTTTTTTTTTTTGTAGAAAGTTTGGTTACCTTTGAAACTAAATGGGTAACATTTTGGTGTGTGTGCATGGGACATGAAGCTCTGCGGTTTTTGGATGGGCAGAAGCAGAAAGATGCTCTGTGTTCTGGAGAGAATGAGACATCCTATGCAGAAAGAGTCGTGTTGTCAGGAGAGGTGAGATGTGTCATGTAGCCTTAGCACTCAAAGATACACAGCTGTCAAAAGCTGAGAGGTGAATAGTTTGAGAGAGTTAAAAGCTGAAAATTATATTTTATATATATATATATATATATATATATATATATATATGTATATATGGATGTATTTTACATGTATTTTTTTGTTTTGTTTGTTTATGGATATATATGTATTTTTGTTTTGTTTGTTTTTATTCTGCTATGTACAATGTTTTGGCAATATGTACCTAAGTATGTCATGACAATAAAGCAATATTAATTTAATTTAATTTAATTGAACTGAGCTGAACTGAATTGAATTGAATTGAATTGAATTGAATTGAGAGAGAGAGAGAGAGAGAGAGAGAACAACGAATAATCGAGACATCTGACAATGTCTTTTCTCTTCCAGAGGGGGAGGGTAAAGGTCTTGCCACATCTGCATCTCGTCTACATGTAGACCAACTGATGAGGCGAGAGAGAGAGAAAGAAAGAATGAAGAGGAACATATGAACGGCAAAAATAACGCCACTCCCTCGTGCACGTTTGTTTTTGAAAGAGAAACAGCGCCACCCATGTGCGGATTTTAATATATCACACTGTATTAATTATTTTAGAAAAAACACGAGACCAAGTTTTGCTCAATTTTGGCTCACTGAGATCTTATCATGATTTTTCATACTTCTCTGTAGTTGAATGTTTGCATTTCCTTTCTTCTACAAAAATGAAGGTCAGTTGTGTGGCTCATTGTAATATATGTGTGTGTTATAATGTATTATTGTAATGTGTTAATGTATTCTAATATCATAATGTGTTAAATGTCAATCACCATTTCAAATTAGAAAAAGCAACAAGAATGATTTGCTTAAAATGTCTTGTGCCAATTTGAGGGCTAAAAATGAAACAAACAAGGCTACACATGTATTACTTCATCAATTAAAAAACATATTGGTCGACCACTAATCTGAATATTGCATGGGACGGGTTTCACCATAATGGTTACAGGCCTAATGCCCCTGGTTTGAGATCTTTAACATGAAGCTGCTGTAAATCACCACTCTAACCATTAGGGGAAGTTGTGGCCTAATGGTTAGAGTCAGACTCATAACCCAAAGGTTGTGGGTTTGAGTCTCGTACCGGCAGGGATTGTAGGTGGGGGGAGTGAATGTACAGCGGTCTCTCCCACCTTCAATACCACGACTGAGGTGCCCTTGAGCAAGGCACCGAACCCCCAACTGCTCCCCGGGCACCGCAGCAAAAATGGCTGCCCACTGCTCCGGGTGTGTGTTCACGGTGTGTGTGTTCACTGCTGTGTGGGTGCACTTTGGATGGGTAAATGCAGAGCACTAATTCCGAGTATGGGTCACCAACTAAATCAACACACCAGATGTTGTCATTGATTGAGATAAATGATGATCTATACCTTTGTGTTCATATATTTTTCTAGAACGATGACAGGATCACAGTGGAACAGTATTTCACTTGGCCCGGAACAGTGAATATCTGGAGTTTATGAATGATGATTTGTGTCTGGGTTAATGTATCCCATTAACACTACAGTAAATTCAAGATGACACTCTGGAACACTATAATTACAACAACGTTAGTGAAGAACGACATCAACATTCATTCGCGTACACAACAACAGACTCGCATACACGCATGTGAAAGGATGGGAAAACATCTAACTGCTTTGAGAGAGTCTAAGCAAGAGCAGCCATGTTTTAAAACTGGGAAAGAGTGACAGTAAAGTGAAGACACTACAATCATTGTACATCTAGCAGTGTTGAATTAAATAGAGGAGGTAAAAAGGCAGTATGGTTCACCAATAGAGGAATATTTTTTTCCTCTCTCGGTCCGTAATGAACACTGCATGAGCTGGAACATCACAGAGTCACACAGGGTGGTCCCTAGCTAAACCTAGTCATGGTTCTTTACAAAAAAAAAAAGTACTGTGGTGGTACTATGGTACTACTAAATGATGTTTACATGGTACTATAAGTTACTATGTGCAAAAAATGAGGTAATATCGTGATTGTGCTTCAAAAAGAGGGTTAAAGTGTTAAATGGGATTTTTACTATATATTTTGGATCAAAATAGTTGCCTGGTGGCAACTGAAAGGAAATGGGTGTGTTTTCCCACTCAAGAAAGGATTAATTTCTCCTTGAAAATTCTATTACAGAAGTCCAATGTTTGGCCAGAGCTCAGCAAGCTTTTTCCACTGATCTCATTCTCTTTGCTTCCTTGAAAGAAAGAAACATTTTTTTTAAAGCATTTTGTACCCTAAGACTGGGAGAAAAAAGGGGGCGAAACCATCTGGTAATAATCAGGATTTAATAGTGGAGGCTTACTGTAAATTTATGAAGAATCTGACAGCTGCACTGGTTTGTTTGGCCTGGGCAGGAGGAAGGGGCTTCATCAAGGTGAATGGCATCAGGATTCTTCGCTATTATGTGTGAGAGAGAAGCATGCTGCAAGACAGAGCAAAAACCAGCAAAAGATTGAAGACTTTTTGCTGACGCAGAGAAGGTAGATGTGAGAACAGACAAGAAGAAAATTCAAAGTTAGAGGCAAACTGACAGGTCAAAGTGCAGAGCCTTTCAAATGAATGTCATTCTGACATGTTAAATGGGGGGTGAGGGAGGGAGGGGTTAAGCTTGACCTCTGGCTGTCTAGGGAGCCTCAAAGGTTTAGATTACAATCACAAAACAGCAGGTAACATAAACGCCCCAAACTCCAAACACTGTCCAGATATATAGCATTCAGAAGTTTGGGGTCGGTAAGCTTTTTTTTAAAAAGTGCTTACTAAAGCTGCATTTATTTCCTCAAAAACACAGTAAAAAAGTAATATTGTAAATGTATTAGTATAATTAAAAATAACTGTTTTCTATTTTATTATATTTTAAAATGTAATTTATTCCTGTAATGGCAAAGCTGAATTTTCAGCATCATTACTCCAGTCTTCAGTGTCACATGATCCTTCAGAAATCAGTATATGTTGATTTGCTGCTCAAGAAACATTCCTTCTTCTTTTGAAAACAGTTGTGCTTCTTAATATTTTTTTGGAAAGCATGATACATTTTTTTTTTTTTTTTGATGAGTTGAAAGCTCAGAAGAATAGCAATTTATACAAATATTTTGAAACATAAAAGTCTGGTTAATAAAATGTAAAAAATAATTTCTATTGCACTTTGTTATTTATGTATATGACTTCATTTTTCCAGCTCTATAGCTGTGGTGAGATGGACTTTGGAATTCTGGGAGGTTTCCTCTAAAGTAAGGGACAGACAGAGGAAAGCATTGATCCGCAAATAACAATAATCCATGTGTTTTGACCTTCTTGTGAATAATTCATCAGTCACATATTTTGTTTGAGCATTGGGAAAAATCCCAACTTTTCACCAAATGAATACCCTGGCCTTCCGTACCAGATCTGGATCCAAATAGAAAAGAAAGCCTGTGAGATTTCCATGGGATGAGATCGTAAGCTCTTGAGAATTGCTCCAAGCACATTTGAATACAGATTCCAGTTTTACTAAAATTATGAAAACTTTTATAGCATGTGCATCAAACCGAATGATGAAGGAGTTACGTTATACAATAAAATCCAAAGTAATCTATGTGGATAAGATCATTACTTATATTGCACAAGAATAATTCTGCCCCATTTCCTCTAGTGATTTAAGACTTT